TTTTGAGTTGGAGTCTCACTCCGTCACCCAGGTTGGAGTGCAGTGGCATGCTCACAGCCACCCCAGCATCAACCTGCCAGGCTCTGGCAATCTTCCACCTCAGCCTTCCAAGTAGCTGAAATTATAGGCACGCACTACCACATCTGGCTAATTTTTTATTTGTTGTAGAGATAAGGTCTCGCCAAGTTGCCAGGGCTGGTCTCAAACCTGCGGGCTCAGGCAATCCACTCACCTCGGCCTCCCAAAGTGCTGGGATTATGGGTCTAGCTACCGAGCCCAGCCTTAGCTAATTTTTTATTTATTTTATTTATTTGAGTTGGAGTCTCACTCTGTCACCTGGAGTGGAGTGCAATAGCACGCTCTCCACCACCGCAGCCTCGACCTGCTGGGCTCCCGCAATCCTTCCGCCTCAGCCTTCCAAGTAGCCGGAACTACAGGTACACGCTACCACGCCCAGCTAATTTTTAATTTATTGTAGAGACGAGGTCTTTTTTTTTTTGGTGAGTTGAAGTCTCACTCTGTCGCCCAGACTGGAGTTCAGTGGCATGCTCCTGGCCACTGCAGCCTCGACCTCTGGACCTGCTGGGCTCTGGCGATCCTTCTGCCTCAGTCTTCCACGTAGCTGGAACTACAGGCGCGCGCCACCATGCCCAGATATTTTTTAAAAATGTATTGTAGATATGAGGTCTCACCAAGTTGCCCTGGCGGGTCTCAAACCCGCAGACTCAGGCAATCCACTCACCTCAGCCTCTCAAAGCGCAGGATTACAGGCTGAGCCACCAAGCCCGGCTGAGACGAGGTCTTGCCAAATTGCCAGTTGCCTGGGCGGGTCTCGAACTCGTGGGCTCAGGCAATCCTCTTGCCTCGGCCTCCCAAAGTGCTGGGATTACAGACTGAGCCACCGAGCCCGGCCACTAATTTTTTGATTTATTATGTAGATGAGTCTCACCAAGTTGCCCAGGCTGGTCTCAAAATCCTGGACTCAGGCAATTCTCTCACCCCTGACTCCCAAAGTGCTGGGATTACAGGCTTGAGCCACTGCACCTGGCCCCAGATTTTCATCTCTTCTCTGAAGCCTTTTTTTTTTTTTTGAGTTGGAGTCTCACTCTCGCCCCAGCCTTCCAAGTAGCCGAAATTACAGGCATGCGCTACCACGCCTGGATGATTTTTTTAAAAAATGTATTGTAGAGATGAGGTCTCGCTGCCCAGGCGGGTATCGAACCCACGGGCTCAGGCAATCCACTCACCTCAGCCTCCCAAAGGTGCGGGATTACAGGCTGAGCCACCGAGCCCGGCTTGAAGCCTTCTTTAATGACTCCTGCTTAAAGGGTCTTTTCCTTCCTCTGCCATCTATAGCACATTTACCAGCAATAACCAGGACAGGTGGTATTATATTTCTGGACACACCTAATTTACTTTCCCTTTTAGGTTGTGAACACCTGAAGGACAAGGATAAGAGACTAAGATAAGCCTGGTAGGGTGGCTCATGCCTGTGATATCAGCATTTTGGGAGACTGAGGTGAGAGGATTGTCTGAGATCACAGGTTCGAGACCAGCCTGGGCAACAAGGTAAGACCTCGTCTCTACAATAAATCAAGAAACTAGCTGGACATGGTGGCCCATGCCTATGGTTCCAGCTACTTCGAAGGCTAAGGTGGAAGGATCGCCTGAGCCCAGCAGGTCGAGGCTGCGGTGGCCATGAGTGTACCACTGCACTCCAGCCTGGGCGACAGAGTGAGACTCTGACTCCAAAAAAAAAAGAGAGAGAGAGAGATTGGGTGCAGTGGCTCAAGCCTGTAATCCCAGCACTTTGGGAGGCAGAGGCGAGAGGATTACCTGAGCCCACGGATTTGAGACCAGCCTGGGCAACATGGTGAGACCTTGTCTCTACAATAAACCAAAAAATTAGTGGGGCATGGTGGTGTATGTCTGTAGTTCCAGCTACTTGGAAGGCTGAGGTGGAAGGATCACCTAGCCCAGCAGGTTGAGGTTGCAGTGGCCTCCAGCTGGGCAACAGAGTAAGACTGTGACTCAAAAAAAAAAAAAACAGGGCCATGTGCGGTGGCTCCCACCTATAATTCCAGTACTTAGGAGGCCGAGGTAAGAGGATTGCCTGATCCCACGGGTTCAAGACCAGTTTGGGCAACTTGGCAAGACCTCACCTCTACAATAAATCAAAAAGTTAGCTGGGCATGATCGTTACTTGGAAGGCTGAGGTGGAAGAATCGCTTGAGCCCAGCTGGTCGAGGCTACAGTGGCCATGACCGTTCCACTGCACTCCACCCTGGGGGACAAAGTGAGCCTCTGACTCAGGGGGAAGAAATGTAAGCAATCAAAACAACTTTGGCCAGGTGCCGTGGCTTAGCCTGTAATCCCAGCACTTTGGGAGGCCAAGGTGAGAGGATTGCCTGAGCCAAGGGGTTCTAGACCAAGCTGGGCAACTTGTAAAACCTCATCTCTACAATAAATCACAAAAATTAGCTGGGTGTGGTGGCATGCACCTGTAGTCCCAACTACCCTGTAGTCCCAACTACTTGGAAGGCTG